GCGGGAAGAAGTTCTGTTTGGGGGCTGTAAAAGTTCGTGTCTTGATTGGGGTCGGAAAAAGAAACTGTGGAGGAGGCATAGGCGCGAGATGAGGCGGCGCGACGCGAGTGATGGCAGTTCAATTGATTGTTTTAGGGCGGTGACGCTGATTTCTCTGGAGTACTGTGAGGTTATAAAGCGGGCAGCGCGGTTTTGAACTGCTTCTAGTTCGCTAACGAGGTATGCCTGGGATGGATTCCAAATGGACGATGCGTATTCGAGCTTTGGCCGTACGTATGTTAAGTATGCTAGTTTTTTAACGTCAGGAGATGCTGATTTGCTGAACGTCAGGAGATGCTGACCTTTTATTCAGATGCTTCAAGTAAGTGTTCCTCAAGCGTCGCAACCCAGTAGCACTAGCCCCTATATAGTACGGAAGCACAGCCGAAATAAAGTCCGGAGTAGTCCGGAAGCAAAGCCAGTAATGCGCACTTGATATTTTTAAGTCCTCCTTCCCTCCAACCTCTCCCTTCAATGTCGAAACTGCAATGTTTTCTTTGTTACATGTACGCTTTCTCCGTGCCTTCCGAGCTCTTCGCTGTGGTCTTCGTACGGTGCACTGTTTCAGGGTAACTACAAGTTTGAACAATATGCACAAAGCAGCCTAAACTAAACACGCCGTTAACGCTCTTTTGTCCGCCCGGTTTCACGAAATCACTTGTATTCGTGGCGAACTCAAGGAAATCCACATGCATCACTGCGGGGCATTTATGTAAGCGTATTTGTGCGCTGTTGGAAGCAACACCTTATCACTGTTTTTGTTAATTAGTGCCAGTGCTTCTCTCATCTCTTCTTCGAAGTCAGTCCTTGTTTTGCGCTGAATTTTCGCACCAAAAAATACCTATGATAATCACGTGTCGAAATAGTACCTATCAGGGTTACAGAGCGAACACACTTTCGTTTCAAACGTCTTCAGTTCGGGTCATGGGGAAGTTGTTTCCCCACGAACGCGTAGATAAAAGCCAACGTTATCTCCAGAGACCATGTTCGTCGTGGCATGACGTGGTAATCGCTAGAAGTAGCGCATACGAGTCATCGTACTAAAAATAAATTTTGATGTCTGGTTTTAACCACTGATAGGAAATCTCTCGCCATCATTCGATCGGTCCGCCACGGAGTACACTCTCTGACCGGAGAGCGAAACACGCGAGAAAGCAGGGTCTAGGGAAATAAGGAAATATCTACGTCACTATAGACTACTCGACGATCCGTTCTCGTATTCGCTCGGCACGGTGAATCGCCTCGTATTGAGCGGTCACACCAAGAACGGCCCGCCGCACTACCATGCATTCAACCTGTCTTTTCCGAGCGTAATAAAGAGAATGCGAAAATATACGCCTTCCCACACCCTCTCCAATCGAACATAAGAACATACGAAAAGAGGCCGGGCCTCCATGAATCCACCTTCTCCTTCTCGGCGTAATCAGCAGAAAGCGGAGCGGAGGGGGCGAAGACATCCGCCTTCACCCTCCTTTCCCTCAGGAAGGAAACAGACAGGGTAGCGTGAAGAAGCATTCGCGAAAAGTAGCAATGACCGTAAAAGGATAAGGGTGGGAATGAGGAGCGGTAACGATTGAACACGGGAAAAGAGAGGGTCAAAAGAAGGCGAAAAGGAGAGACTACGAGGAGCCCAAGGCACGAACTGCCGACTACCGCTTGGCTTGGCTAAGCAGGAAGGTAGGAAAAAAAAAGAATATCAGCCGTCTATCTGACGGTACTGATTACGGGCTGTGGGGCGCCTCCATTCCCGTTATTGGCCGTATCAACGGGGCCTGCGATCAACGGATTTCGCCATGCAGGTCATCGGCAGTGAGAGGAAGGGAAAAGAGAGAACGAGAGAAGAACTGGAGAGGGTGAAGCATGAAACTATGTATACGCTGGGTAACGGTGAAGTGCACGATGATGTGGATTTCACACGCAACTTATCACTATTTATTCTGCGTTTTTTTTACTGATAGTTCTGGAGGGGAGCCTTCGTGTTTTCTGAAATGGGCGGATTTACGTAAAAAGGGTAGCGCGGGAAGAACTTTCCGTAAAAAAATATGCAAAGACAAAAATCTGGGCGAAAACTCATCTTCTTTGAGGGGAAGTCGGTCTTTCGTGTGTTACGTGCAATTCTTCCCCATCCTACAGTTATACTGCCATGTTTATTCTGTTGCAAAACAAAGAAAGCACGGAACGAAAAAAAAAAGCGCGCGGGAGCCCCCAAAAACCGTGGCTTAAAAAGAAAGACCTCGCTGCGAAACGTCCGAACGGGGAAGCATGGAACGATGTAATAGACGCGGGAAAGCTTGGAACCATGTCCGGATGAAGCGAGAAAAGAAAATAAATAAGAGAGGAGGTATCAATTTCCAATACGTCATCATCAAGCGGCAGTGTTGCTATGGATTGGGGACCGGGGAAAACCCCTAAAGACGGCTTCTTACGGCGACGACACGCAACGCGGCAAAGCCAACATACGGAGCAACTGGGATGGGGTCTCCGGTTATTATGCTATCACGATCATCGCCCGGATTTAGGGATTTGGCAGCGAAGTCATTTGCCTCTCACCCGACACTACGTATTCATTTGTAAGCGCTGCCGGGACGCTTCCTGGCGGTGGCAGTTTGTGATTATGTCTGTGAACGCTCTTTTACATATCGGTGTGCGGAAAAGAAGCATTTATTTTACAGAGCAGATGAAAGAGAGATAAAAATAGAAATGCGACTACCATCTTCGATGTCTTATTAGAGAGTCTGTGCTTTTTTTAAACAACAATAAATTCTCATTCGTTCATATTTAAAAAGGCAACACGTTTCTAACGAAGCTATGTTTTTTACACACCTGCAACAGAACAGGACAGTTCGCAAATGAAGCCACCGGAGTTGTATTCGTTACAGCGCAACGGCCATAACGAGCACGTATTCGAAAAAAAACAACAGCGAAAACGAAGTACTCTCAAGACCGGTTACCTGACCAGTTGCCGGGACGGTTGTCACATTTTAGACAAACGCTGAACTTCACGACAGCAAACGTATAGGATGCTCGCCTGCCGGCTGGTATACGGCCAAAACGAGCTTGCGCGTCCTCCGTCCATTCTCTCTCCCTCTTTTTGTTTTTTTAAGGCCGAGTGTCCGAGTGGTCAAAGCCTACGTCCAGCCAAGCCTGTCTGATGTGCTCACATAAATCAACCGAAAAAAAAATCGCAAAGTAAAACGATGCGAACAATGAGCTAAAAGCAGGCACCGCCTTCACAATAAAAATCCGTAGCCACTGCCACAACCGAGCTCTCAACAAAAGCACCGTTATTCCTCCTTTCATCCTCCTTTCCTCCTCTTCACGTCTCTATATTCTCCCTCCGCTGGTCACTATATTGCACGGCTGCTACTAATCAGCCCTGTGCGCCTTTCACTGCCGCTTCGTCGAGCCATTAGCAAAATTGCAGCGCACGACCGAGGGCTACACTCGCAGAGCAAAAGGTTTTAGCGGCAGCCAGGGCCCGTTTTAGGGAGCCGATCTGGCGCGCCCGTTCGGCCAAATCCCGCCGACTCAGCTCCCGGCTTACGGCGCCACGCGTGACGAGACGAAACTCGCTGCGTCATCGCTCCGTCGCAACATGCCTGCGCACACGAGCATCGACTACGACGCCGGTGCAAGTCATGGGGAGGACCGTGCGGTGGACAACTGGACCTCGTCGGCTCTCGACGTGCAGCGTAGGCTGACGGGAAAGACGCGGCGAACAGCCGGCATATGTAAGCCTGCAGTGGGCGGTTCTCAACGGTTCGATGGGCTGCAAACAAGATGGCACATACGCGAATGCAGAGGGCAAGGGAACTCGGGAAGTGGCGTCAGTGACAATGCATCCCGCTATACTGTCACTATCTCTTTCTCTTTATTTTGTTATTTTCTTTAAACGCCCATGCGAGCAGACGGTATCTTATAAAACGGCCTTTAGTGTTCATATTACCATTATTATAGAGTTTCAAACAAGTGTGTTTTTTTGTTTTCTTTGCATGTTGTTTCTTTCGTAGCAAGAAGATTGATGATTGATATGTGGGGTGTAACGATTCGAAACCACCATAAGATTATGAGAGACGCCGTATAGGAGGGCTCCGGAAATTTCGACCACCTGGGGTTCTTTACCGTGCACCTAAATACGAGCAAACGAGCCTACAGCATTTTCGCCTTTATAAAAAATGCAGCCGCCGCAGCCGGGATTCGATACCGCGACCTGCAAGTCAGTAGCCGAGTAGCAAGATGGAGCATTCGTAACAACAAGTTAGAAAGTTCACGTTACCATGCCGAATTGTTCATTACAGATATGTGCTACCTGTCGTAGAAGATTCTATGAAAGAACTACTATATCAAGAACATCGGTCACAAATGCGCGAAGAAACGCACATTATCGGCTATACCCCCCTTCCCCTCCCCCCGACACCACACTGCTTTGTACCCCCAAGACAAGACCTTGGATACCAATGGCAGTAAGCGACAATAGAGCGTAACGATTGCTGGCAAGCGGCATTTTCATTTAACTTTAATACGACCAGCCCTAGCTTGCACCACGGTTTTTTTATCCGTGCTATATAAACGTTTAGCTGTGCACGGCAAGGTACTTCACCCTACAAGACACTTCGAATCACAGTACATTTCGTAACTTCGGCTCGGACCGCAATGCCTTCAGTTCGAACCGCAGGACACTACACAGCAAGACACTTCAAAAAGCAGGTGAAGTGCTGTGACGCATGTCAGTTAGCTACACTGAAACTGTTCTTGACGGAGTGCCCCACAGAAGCATCGTATACATTTGAGCCACTATAGCCACCATTTAGCTGCTCACCGCAAGACGCTTCACAATTTCGGATTGAACAGGGCACTCCGAACCAAATACACTGCACCGCAAGACACCTCGATGAGCTGGCAAAGTGCTCCGACGCGCGTCCTTGAGCAAGTACATACTATATATACAGGCAAGAGCATACCTTTGAGTGCCTTTGAGGGCTGCGTGTCCCTGAGCCAGGGCCGGTGTCCGTGCTGGGAAAAGTCTCTGAGCTTCAGGTAGGAAATGGTGAGGCGGATGATGGAGGCCTTGTCGAGCTGGCTGGTGATGGCCGCCGGCAGCGGCAGCATCTTGGCCAGCTCGTAAAACTCGTAGTTCTCCTTGCCCCGCCGTGACCTGGCTGCGTCCCGGCTCTTTTCCTTGCGCATCTCGAGGATACTGCGACACATGAGACAAACTGTCAGACACCTCGCGATCACAATACAAAAAAAAAAAACTCTTCACATAAGCAATCATGACAAAAAGCGCGAACGAACGAGATTCTGTCAACTGGTTTTGTTAAGAAATAGCAGATTATATACAAGGCAGAGAACAGGAAGGGGGGTGGGGGCGCTAAAATGGCTCGACTAGCTACAAGAGAATCATACATATTTACGTAATGTTGAGCACGAAATACGTGACAATAATCTTACATAACAGCTGTGATATATTTAACAAAAATAACAAAAACGAAAATAGGTGCTGTCTATGTCCAGAAGCAATAACGCCTCTGCATATGTTGCAGCACTTCGACCATACCTTTGTCAATTCACCTGCACTTTAGTACAAGTCCGTATAAAAGAGCATTCTAATGCGTTTTCTCCAATTTTCACTGTTTCTTTTCTATGTTACTCTGATAAACTCTCAAACAATGCTTACAACAAGATACTAAACGGCACTGCTTTGTATTCGAGGATTAAAAAAACACACACATTGACCCAAGCAACTTGTTTTACAAGGGAAACACACAGGTTGATTTTCTCCCGCTTTAACATAAAACACAGGTTACAAAAATACAGCGCTTGTGCCCCCAAGTTCATGTTCACGACGGGCGGTCATCCAACTTACTACGATCGATACGCTCAGTACAGGTCCTTCTCGATAAACTCCCCAACATACGAACACGTTTCCCGAAATCTCGTTTGACGCGCGCGTACACGCACACATAAACACACACTCACTCGCGACAGAAAAAAAAAAAACAAATTGGTTGCACGTATTGAAAGCTCGAACAAGCCTCGTAACAAATGATGCAACAGGATGGGAAAGATAGGAGTGACGTTTTTCGGAATTTCCCTTCAAAAAAGGGGAGCAATCCTAAACAAAGACCTCGTTCAAATGAGACTCGATAAGCGGCTGCAAATGCTTACCTTCCCACTCCTACTCCCACTTTTATCCCTGTTTCTCCAGCAGCCTTGCTAGTTGCTTCATCCCGAGTTCACTGCTTCAGAACCAGAACTAGAATATCTGTTTTCTTTATTTTATGTCAAAACGTTATTCTTTGCGAGCCCCTGCACTACCGTACGTTTCAAAGGGGCTGTATAAACACCACCCCGCGTTCTATACGGCATAAAATAGCCTGCCGCTTCGGTGTTATCCCCGGCAATCTTCGAGAAAAAGAAAGAGAGGCAACTCCCCCATTTTACATTTATTTTTTTGTGCAGTTTGGACCAATAGTGAATACCAATAACGACAAAAAACAGCTATGCAGATGCGACTACAGACTGAAGGTCTTTATTTACGGTAATAAAGCGAAAAGAACCTCGACATTGAGAACCATGCCGTGGATCATCTCCTCCTCAATTCTCCAATCCACGTGCCAACAAACGAGATTTTGTTGTTGTTGTTGATGTTGTTGTTTTCGCCCAGTTTCCAGGCCCAAGGGGCGAGTTAGGTTGTGTGTGCGAAGCAAAACAGAAAATGGGCTCCAAAGGCAAAGACGGAGAAGATAAACATTCGATGGCATTTTTCGTAACAAAAAAAAAAAATAAAAAAGGGGAGGGGGGAAGGAATAGTTTGTATACCTGCACCGTCCCTGCCGAGGCCCGCACTTCGCTATATGCTCCCTCGTGCCCTTAACTCCGATTCCACTGTTTTAAGAGGTGAGCTGTTTAAGCTTCTCGTTCTGTGTCCGGCATTTGTAAAACCCAGCTTCGCTTCGCAGACATCGATGAAACGTGTCAAGTTAACGCATTTTTATGTTTTGCAGGTCTTTCATACATGTTGTACTACTGCTCGTTATTAAACACTCTTTGTTAAGCTTCAGGTTGGTAGTATAGCCACCGCGTTTTGAAACCACAAATTCTCACGTGACAGTGGTGTTAATATGGTGACGCGCACCCCACTTGTTCGGTTAACTGTCGCTTTCATGCTTTTCAGTGGAAGTTGTGTGCAGTGGAATTTACCCAGTGCCTGTGGTGCGGGCGCATTTATGACCATCATAGTGGCCTGACCAGCCACACAGATTTATGCGGCACACACCGGTTCGTTAGACTGTTGCCTTCATTTTTAGTCTGCCACTGGTGATTATAGTGGCATTTACCCAATGCATGCGGCGCATACCCATTCGCGATGCCCACAAGTATGCCGGACATGAAATGCTCGGCTAAGAGCAGCTTCACTGATGAAAGAGCAGTCGGGAAACCGCGGAACGAAAAACAGATGATTGCAACAGAAATATCATAACCACAGAAAAGAATACTAGCGGGTAGAAACACAGTCACGCTAAAAATTATAAGAGAGCACGAAAAGAACAGAACAGATCAGACATATACAATATGAAAACAAGAAAGAAAGACCAAATCAATGCTGTAGTTCTCACTGCTTAAAGTTGAGGCGAAAAGGGCTCACTTTTTTCTTTAGTCTTTCACGAGATGCCAATAGAAGATTGAGTCAGAACTGGAATATAGGGATCAATAAAACGGACAGCAACCGACAACATCGTCATTCGTCCTATTCCATAAACCCAGACATCTGTGTCTGCAACGCTCGTTTTATACAGCGCATAAAATAGCAGCTCCAACAAAGCCGGAAAAAGAACTACGAGGGGTCGCCGCAGAGGGCGTTGTTGACCAATAAAACTCTCGCCTCAAACTTGAGGAGCGAATATAACACCCGACCGACCACCATCCATCCATCTGGCAAGTGCTCTTCGGGGGATGTATCTAACTCACTTCGGCATTGCGCGCAGCTCTGACGCAATTGAAAAGGGAGGCATTTTCTGGGAGTGCACACGGGGTGCGCATTTTACGAGCAGCTGCCGCACTGCGATATATCGGCACTCAAACTCCACGCCACCCTCCCACCCCCCTGCCGCCGCCATGTTGAGATACACGAGATCGTGAACCCAAAATACGTGGCGCGTGTTTTATGGCCCAGTTCTGAATACATAAAGGTGAGGAAGCGTAAAAGTTTGGGATTTTGTAGCTTGCTTACAATAACTACATTGGGGAAAGTCAACGCGGAACGCCTTTGGTGTCCGCCTATTTCTTAGATAAGTTTTTTTTTTCGGATAACAACCATGCCATCTTATTGAGAGCAGCGGACACTTTGTGATCAATACGAAGCGTGACGGAATGATTCTACAGAAATCGAAGATGCTGGAGACCGAGCCACATGTTGCAGAAATTGTTGCACAAGTCGCTGAACCACCATGTTCGCTGTTATCTTATCAAATGGCTATGCTGCTGTTTTTTAAACGAAAAAGCAACATTTCGGTGAGGACTTTTTAATGGGACCTTATCTGACACAAATCGCAAGCGTAAATGTAACTATTGAGAAAATCTAATGCTGCACAAAGATGAATGCTATGCAATTTGGTCGGAAAACGGTGCATTAAACATAACGAACGTCGGCAAAATTTCTGCCCCCATAACGACATGAGTAATATAGACGAACTGCAAAACAAGGAAAACTGACCTCCCTCATGAAGTGATACTTGAGGTGATATTGTAATGTACCGACTGACTCTCTCACAGCGATGAAAAAAATCCTCAACCAGAGGGTGTCACTATAGATCTCAGGTTTCGACAAGTGGTCTTGTCATACAATGAGAGTCCGGTATTTGCAGCGTGCGTGAATATGCGGCTGTAGAGAATAAAAACGTTACTAAACTTTCGTCTTGCTAAAAGCCAACATAGGTGCAGCGGAAAAGCAAACGCTGCAGCGGAAACGGTTCAAACGGTTTAAACAGGACAGCGGCAATGTAAGTACAGCAAGGTTGCGGTAATGTAAATTTCGCTTACCCTAGTCACTGAAACTGAACTCTAACTTGCATGAAAAGCTCGAAACTAGACTCGCATATTATCGCGCCAACGGCACACTAAACTGTCACGCCTACTGCTTCTTCAATATGTATTGAGTAGAACATAATAATCGAATGATGTGTAACTTCTAGGCTTGTTTTACACCGCTAAGGCGCTGTCACACTAAGCTTGAACGAGGCCATATTTTGTTCTGCAATATCTTTCCAAACCACCGTCACAATTACAGAGCCTGCATTAGAAGCCCATTTTAAAGTTCGCCGAAGCTTTGAAGTTGAGATCGGTCGAGTGATGTGCAGTGTGCAAACACGCTTGGAAAATAAAGAAAAAAAAAGGCTGACAGCACTAAGACGATGTATGAAGTGTACAAAACAATGTACTATAAATATAAAATACTTATGAATTATATTATACAATATGAAATAACAACATAATGATATATCGTTAAAATTTTTAATTTGTCCGCACGTATGAAAACACACACGAACACCTACGGCCACGATTTGTTTTTGCACATATACGCATGCAAACATGCGCACTTACAAACACTTGCAAACATTCACAAACGCTGCTTCAACCCCTACTCCAGGCAGGCAAGCACACACACACACACACACACACACACACACACACACACACACACACACACACACACACACACACACACACACACACACACACACACACACACACACACACACACACACACACACACACACACACACACACACACACACACACACACACACACACACGCACACACACACACACACTGACCAGTCAACAATTACGTATGAATTCGTGCGCGACAAGAATGTGCATCCGCGAGAAGAGGCTCATCCTTCGAAGTCCACGTTGGCGTTGCCCACAATACAGACGCACAGCCACACATCTCCCCAGAATTAATCACCGTCCACGCTCCAACACAAAGTGCGACGGATTGCCCCCCCCCCCCCTCTTATATCGAAGGTGTTCCATAAATCTGACACCACGTGACCACCTTTAGCAGGGTGTAGCGTATATTCTCGTTAAACGGGGAGACAGCTCACAAGGGGTCCTGAATGACCTTTGGAGTCGAAGAATAAGAGGCTGAACTAAAGGGGCAGGATATCCGAGACGCCATCATCACGTACAGCC